AATCTGGCCGTCGATGGCGAAGAGCCGGCATTCTTCGTGAGCGCTGTCGTCGACAAGACTTCGACGCAGAGTTATCTTCGGCTTAATGTCTGCACACAGTTTAGTGTCCATTTATTTTGTGATGAATTTTGGACTTAATTTTAGTTTAATTGTTATTTAATGTTTAGCTATCAAGAGGGCAAGGAGTCAAATATGGCGGTCATGGAAGTGGAACTCCCTTCAGGTTATGTGGCAGACATGGAGTCATTGCCCGGCGCTTCAGACATTAAACGCGTTGACACAACAAAGGGAGACACTAATGTTGTCATATATTTCGATAGAGTTAGTCATTAATTGCTAGAAATGATAGGATTTTGTGATAATTTGTATGCATTTGACAGATAACCCGATCGAAGATCTTTCTGACAGTCTGTGGCCATCGGACCCATCGTGTGGTCAACACTAAAGCCGTTCCTATCGTTGTCTACGACTACTATAATCGGCAACAAAGCGCTCGTATTTCGTATGAATTAAACTGATTGTCTGAATGTTTGAATTGAAATTTGAATTATTTCTGTGATTTAAAGTAAATCATCTGATATTTAATTATACATAATATAAATTAGAAACAAAACACGATTTATAATAAGAATAATTTAAAGAATTACAAATATTTTATTTAAGATTGCAAATTTAATTTTTTAAAGTTCAGTTTTTAAAAATTATTATAATTATTATTTTTAAAGTTATATTATTAGATTATAGTAAACTTTAAATGGGGTTTGATTATAAAAATTATTTTAATTAAAAAGATTATTTGACTTTTAATGAAAGTGTAATTTATAAAATACAATAGCAAGTTAATTATTTAACCCTAAATGCAATACTTTCACTAAGATTATTTCATTTACTAGAAAATAAATGTATACTCTACAGTTAAAATTATACCTTATATTTTAAAATTATAAATTTACAATTTTACAATTTAATTCTAAAAATCTCTTAAATGTGTGCATTCAGTTGGTTAATAGGGTTTATTGTAGTTTTTATATCAAGCAACATAACAATAATGATCTTTTTTATTAACCAACAAAACACGTACTGTATGTACAAAATAACTTTGTAAATGGTACCAGGATAATTTCAAGAAGCTAAATTCAATATTAAGTTATTTGTTGTAATCTTAAATCAAATACCAAATGTGCACAATATTTATTTATCTATTTTATTATTAAGGTAATATTGTTATTTGTATGCAGTATATCATAGTACCGTATTTTAGTTTTTATCCCATGCCCACTCAATGGCATTAAACGCATTGTATTTCATATTCATTTGTATCACCTGGTAGCATATAATTAGCATTTAAATAGCTTCCTTAAGTTAATATAATACTATAAATACTGAAATTGTTCAGACATAATCACACCGGACACAATAGTTAAAACACGTTCTAAATGACACACCATTTACAATATTTACCTGTGATTACAATAAAACATCATTAAAAATATTATATATAATTTTAAACATTGTTTACATTAAAAAGTCATTAAATTATTTTTGAAGTATTGCCCAAAATAATTGAATATTAACATAACGAAATATTATTCGGTCATTTTAAATATTGTTTATAAAAATTTATTTTAGATTTGTAATTACAAACAGTTATGTGCTACATGTGTCCTATAGCATATATGTTGTAAACGGAAAATCAGCGGCACTTTTTTCCGTACTCTCATCACTATCAATGCATTTTGATTTTTATAGAGTTTTGAACGAGAAGTCTGAATATGTAATCTATATTATCCGGTTGACCTCGGGTTCGACCGCAGTGACCACTTTAATCGGTAAAACTTTCATTATAAATATACACATGTGATATATCAATTCAATAGAGAATTTAATGGAGACTACGATGATATATAATAAAACATTGTTAACTTAAATTTCATTGCTGATAACGACAATTTAGTATTTCAAAAGCATGAATATTTACAATGTTTCAGTTTATTTTTGAGTTTTTCGAAATATTGTTTATATTATCATATTCTGTGTTCAATTCTCTACCAAATTTATATAACATGTCATGATTTATAATGTCCATTTTCCCAATAAAAGTAGTTTCAATTCAAAATCAATATATTTTAATTGCTGGCACACGGGATATTATCGGAAAAATTAACATTAATCATGACGTGTTATATCAAATTGGTAGAGAAGTGAACACAGAATATGATAATGTAAACAATATTTCAATAAACTCAAAAATAAACTGAAATATTGTGAATTTTCATTCTTTTGTACACTAAATTGTCGTTTTCAGCAATGTAATTTAAGTTAACAATGCTTTATTATATATAATCGTAGTATCCGTTAAATTCTGTATTGAATTGATATATCACATGTGTATATTTATAATCAATGTTTTACCGATAAAAGTGGTCACTGCGGTCGAACCTGAGGTCAACCGGATAATATAGATTACATATTCGGACTCCTCGTTCAAAACTCTATAAAAATCAAAATGCATTGATAGTGATGAGAGTACGGAAAAAAGTGCCGCTGATTTTCCGTTTACAACATATTTGCTATAAGACACATGTAGCTCTTGACTGATCAAAATAATTAATTTAAAAAAATAAAACTACAAATAATTAATTTGTTTTATATTACAATATAATGTTGACTATTTTATTTTTTGCATTACTTTCGTATAAACTAATTATTATGCATTTGGTGATACACCTAGCTACAATTTCGATCTCATCTGTAGGCACAACAAATATTTGCAACATTTGATAGGCTTCTGTAAGAAA